ATTGTTTTGTAGCAAATATTTTTATAAGGAGGATTACTCTCTACAATAACAATAAAAGCATAATATAGGCAGGCATGGTGTCACACACCTGTAATCCCTGCACTCTGAGAGATTGAGGCAAGAGTATCGTAAATTAGGCCCAGCTTGGGCAATTTAGTGGCTTTTCAAGATCCTATCTCAAGATAAAAATATATAAACAAAAAATATCTGGCTATATATCTCTGTATGAAGGTTCTAGATTTAATCCCTAATATAAATTTAAAGAATATAGTACAGTGAACACATAAACCCATAACACAGTCATTTATTATCAAGTATTACATACTGTATGCAACTGTATATGCTATACTTTAATTTTTTTTTTTTTTTTGTACTGGGAATCAAACTCACAACCTTGCACTTGCCAGGCAGGTGCTGTGCTGCTGAGCTATATCCTCAGACTCCAAGCTATACTTTAAACAACTGGCAGGACAGTAGGTTTATTTACACTAGCATAACCACAAATGCATAAGTAATACAGTGCAATACAGTATTATGACAGCTATAACACTACTAGGTATAGAAAATGTGGTCCATGGTTTTCTGAAATGCTGTTATGTGGCTCACACAGCTCTTTAAAGATGTAATCAAGCTCAGATGAGGTCATACTGGATGAGGGTGATCCTTTAATTCAACCGTTGATGTGCTAGGACAAGGAAATGTGGACCCGGAAGCAGAGGAGAACACAATGAAAGAGGATATGGGGAGATGGAGACAGATTTCAAGTGTTGCTGCCTCAAGCCAAGGGAGAGCAATTGCCAGTAACTACCAGGAGCTAGAGAGAAGTAAGGAAAAAATTCCTCCCTAGGACCTTCAGAAAGAGCATGGGTCCTTCTGATTTTGAACAGCTAGCCTCCAGGTCTATGAAAGAACCCTCTTCTGTTGTTTTAAGCCACCTACGTTGTAGAAGCTTGTTGGGGCAGCCCTAGGAAAGGAATATACCAGTCTAGATGAGTCACATGCCAAGCAGTATCATCCTTAATCACTATGACACGCTGCTTCGTGTTTGTAGCATCCCAACTGTGTACTTTGCACTACATTTATCAGACACAGGGTATGTCATAGAGGGAGGCAGACAGTGCTCTTAGAAGTTGAGGAAGAGAGAGAGGCCATGTTGAGGGATGAAGAAGAGGTGGAATCATTGCAAGGTACACAACAGCCAGGCCTCTTTTCTCAAAAATGTCCAGATCTCCACATAGCCTGACCCTGTGATTGAGCAAAGAAGGGAGAAGGAGTTTGTTAATGAAGGGAATAGAATGTGTTAGACAACAAGAAGAACTGGGAACGCTGAGACCTACTGCAATGTAGCTCTGTGATCAGCACCTGGCATTCAGATGTGGTAGCTTTGATCCAGACAATGGTTTTGGGACTATTGAGAACACTGTCTAAAAAGAAAAATCTTAAACTTTTATTTATTAAAAAAGACCCTCACTCAAGCTCTCTTCCTTGTTTTGCTACTCACACTTCTGACCCAGACCAGATACTTATAATTTTAGTGGACCAAATAGATAAATAAATGAATATTGAGAAGATCAGAGATGTTGGAAATGAAATGATGGTTAAAGATAAAGAGTCAGATATACAATAAAGGGCATCAAATAAGACACAAGGATCAGTGATTTCTGCCACTAATATTTGGCAATTAAAAGCCACAACAGAAACAAATGTGGCCCTGTATCATTATTTGTTAAATCTTGATAGTGATAAAACGTGTAAAGTTCTTTATATTTAGGTGAATGTTATGGTTACATCCCAGAGATGTCCCACCAAAGCCTCACACACTCGTAGGTGGAGCTTCGGGGATGTGAATGGATCATGGGAGAGTGATACTCATCAGTGGATTGGCCCATCAATGAGTTTATAATGCAGCCTGGTTGGAGAAGGTGGGTCACTGGGTGCATGGCCTGGAAGGTGTATCTCCCTCCTCTCTCCCTTGATCCCTCCCTCTGCTTCCTGTCCACCATGCCATAAGCAAGTCTCCTCTCCATGCCATTCTGCTTGGACTGAAACCACTACAAACTGTGAGCCAACATAAACCTTTTTTCTCCTTAATTTGCAAGTGTCGGGTATTGTATGTTGGTGACAAAGAAAATAATTTAAGACAGTGGGTTTGAAATGTTTTGTTTTAAAAAGAACAACAGCAATCTCAAGATGTTGTGTCATTCTGGAAACTTTCCAATCTCTTGCTTGGATGGGTTCTAAGCTCTCCTTCATCAGCAAAGATGCAGAGTTGCAGTGAAACCCTTTGTGCCTATGTGCAAACAGCCCTTATAGCCAGAACGTGTGGAATATATATATGAAAAGTCATTAAAATATCCATTTTCTTGGGCCCTGTTCTCCTGTTTCTGGGACTATTATGCAAGGACAGTGATAATTAAAAGAAAAAAAGAATGCAGAATATGTAGATGAAAAATTCTGTGCAGGGGGGAGGGAAGAAAGTTCTGACAAATGCTATCAACAACAAATTAGGAATAATAATATAAGGTAAAATGGGGATATCATGCTCCTATCCTGGTCATGCCACCCTCATCTCTGCCTGGGTGGCTCTGGTAGCTGCCAGGGGTCTCTCAGCATTTATGCTTAGCAGTAAGCCTTCAAGATGAAATCAAATCACCATCTCATTTCTCTTCCAAATGTTCTCCACACCCTCACTGCTACCAGCCTGGTCTGAACGCCCACCTGCAAGGGCTTGGATTATGGCACTAGCTCCCTAAGTGATCTCCTCTCTTCCACATTCCTGCCCCTCAGCATACCAGTGAAAGTGCCCTTTTTGCCTCATAAATCGGATCGTGTCACTCTGCTCAGAAGCCTCCGTGGCTTCTCATATGACTCAGAGCCAACCCAGATGACTCAGAGTCAACCTAAGTCACAGCCAGCCCCAACAGTGCATACTGGAGCTTGTCTCCCTCTTACCACAGAGTTGGGTAACGGTGCCCTCCACTCACAGTGCTCCTTCCCACGTCTACCCGCCAAAGTCCTGCACTTCCTCAAGCGGAAACTCAAATCCCTCTTCTCAGGGAGGTCTTCACAGGCTGCCAAATGTTTCATTTTAACACCTTACATAGCCTCCTCCCACTGCTCTGCTGCATTGTTTCCTCTTAGCACTTATTAGAGTCTAGTATATTAAAGAATTCACATTTTAAAAACTTCAAATGCCTATCACTCCCACCCAAACACAAATACACTAGAATATAAATTCCAAGAGCAAAGGAATTTGTTGTGGTCCTCAGTTGTTTTCCCAGCACCTAGAACACTGTTTGGACCATAACTGATGTTAGGTGAATAGTTATTAAGTAAAGAACAATGGTTAAGTAAACTGGGTTATACCAAGATGATGGAGGATTAAGCAATCAGAGAAAAGATCGTACTTGTGCTATGTATCAATATGGGAAAAGCATATGCCATAATGTTAATATAAAAAGCCAGGGCCCTGTGTTGTGATCAAAACTACATTGGCATGATTTTAGCAACATTATTTTTTCTTCAATAAATAAGACTTTATTGGTACGTTTTAGATACACATAATGATCACATTTATCATAGAGAATCTGTACCTGTTTCCCTTTTTTCCTTTTCTCACATTTTAAAACTTTTTTCTTTCCTTTTCCCCTCTCCCTTTCCTTGTTCTCCTCCCCATTTGAACATTTTCTTCCTGTTTTACAATACCTAATATGCATTTTGATCCTTATTTACACTTTCTGTTTTTCACACCAAAGAAACAATGTAGTTATTTCCATGTACATCTGATTTATTTCACTCAAGAGTGTAGTCTCAAGGTGCATCCATTTATTTAGGAACGTCTCAAGCTTATCCTTCTTTGTGGCAGAGTAGTAGTCCATTGCATAAAAAGAAACTCCACACCTTCTTTATCCATTCACCAGTTGATGGGCATTTGTACTGTTTCCTAGATTTGGCTATTAGAAACTGTGCTGCTATAAACATGGGAGTGCATATATCTCTGTGGTATGATGCTTTTCATTCTTTCTGTCTAGAGTTGTTTATCATTGCTTTTGTATGTACCACTTTTGTTTGTTTGTTGTTTTGAGACAAGGTAGTCTGGGTTGCCTTAAAGTAAGTATCCCAGGCTGTCAAGATACTCCTGCCTCAACCTCCCAATTGCTAGGATTACCAGATGTGCGCCAGGACACTAGGTCTCTGCTATTGATTAAAATATCCTTCTAGGTGTAGTTATCAGTTCATCAGTCTCTGCCAATAAAACGAAGAACTCCTAAAACACAAGAAGCCTAGAACACATTATTGAGTGCTCAATATTTGAGTAATAAAAAGGTGATAATGAACAAATAATAAATTGAGAATATAATGTATCAAGAACCTCCAAAAACTTTATATATGCTCCTGGCAGTTCTATAAGGTAAGCCTATCTTCATTACAAGATTAATATTGAAGGAAAAATAATAACGAATAGTGATCGAAATGTATACAAAGGTTACACAGCTCCAAAGTAGTGGGACTGTAGGTAATTTTTCCCTTACAAAATTTTAATACTGTAGTTATATAATACTACATATAACTATACAATACTATGTGCGTGCACGTGTACATGTATGTGACTGTGTGTGACAAAACAATTTAAAAACATGAATGGGCAAAAACAGCAACAGGAAACTATAGGGCAGCATCTGGGGAAAAAAGAGGATCCGGAAGGCACCTACAAGCCAAAACAGGACTCACCTAAGTGAGCAGGCAGCGCGACCTCGAGTGACAACCACACTAGGCAGCGACGGCCCCACCCCCGGAAATGCTTCCTTATCCGGAGGACAACAGGCTTTATGCAAACTACTCTAGGGGGGCGTGGCTTTAGGTGCTGCTCACTGTAGGCGGAACCACTCCAGTGAGGATTTAGCTGAGGGGCGGGGACGGGATCCGGTAGGCTGACACCGATTGGCTGTCTAGGAAATGGGGCAGACTCTCTAGGTAGACCCGCCTCATCTTGGGGCAGTTCCTGCGTCTGAGCCTCTAGGAGAGGGAAGTTGCGGTGGAGGTCTGAGCTCCGAGTAGTGAGGCGTAGGTCTGCAGCGCCGGGGGCCCCCAGAGGCGGAGCCGGAAGCGTCACTGCTTGACCCCCGAACTTTCCGATTTTCCGGGGGGCGGCTATCTTCTAGACGACCTGCTCCACCTCCCCTTCTACAGTTACCCGAAGGTCAAAAGCCCCCATTTAGGGCGGGGCGGCGCAGCCCCAGCTCCGGCATCCGGAAGAGGCGCCATCTCCCGCCCCCGCCATGGAGCCCACCGCGCCGTCCCTCACCGAGGAGGATCTCACGGAGGTGAAGAAGGACGTGAGTAGCACTTTCCGCCCGGGCTCCGCAGGGCGGGCGGGGACCGCGGAAATGGGGCCCTAGAGGAGCCAAAGGTCCAGGCATCTGAGGACGGCGGCGAGCCTTGCATACTTGGTGGAGGGTATCCCTACCCCCCCGTGACCCTTCGATCCACTTTTAAACCGCTGGACGCAGGACCTGAATTTTTAAACCTCTTCCGCGGAGTTGCCTCGTCATCACCCTTTTGCCCCTTCCTCCCTGTCCCCTCCTGATTGCCCCGCCCGCCCTGCGCTCTGGGAGCAGCGTTGTGAGGGCGCCCTTGAGTCTGGAAAGCCAGGGCGGCTGGCTCTGTGTGGGGCTGAAGGTTGACTAGATGCAGGATCCCAAGCGGAGGAGCAGATGTGTGAAACTCTTGCAAAGGGGCCTGGGGTACAGCTCAACAGCTGAAAGCAGCATTGGAATTCCCCTAGTGAGCAGACACCCACGTATTTAAATGGGGAGGGGTAAATATATGTAGCTGAGGATTGATGTACAGGTAAAGACTGGAAATATTCGATAGCCAAATTATGCACTTTTGCATGAATGATGCTGAGCTGAACAAAGCTTAATTTTTTTTAAAAGAATAGCTTTGTTGAGGTACAACTGGTTTCTTTTGCTTTTAGTTGTTTTGCCAGATGAGACCTAGTGAGCACCATTAAATTGCTTTATAGGAATTCAAATTTAAAAACTCAACAGGAACGGGGTACTTTGTGAATTTGACCTCAACAGTTTTTGAATGTTGAACTGCTGCAGATCCCTTTCTCTGCCATCCCCTGTAAAGTTTGTTACACTTCTTTTCATAATTACAATTGATCCATCTCACTAGCATAGGGAAACTGGATATGACTGGAACTCATGTCTTTGCTTCTTCATTCAGCAGAGATTTATGGAGCACTTAGCACAAATAAGTAGTGTCTTTCTGCCTAAGAGGATGCAGAAGATGAAGATCAGGCCCATGCTTTATATTCTAGTTGAAAAAAAACGGGAATATCGTTAACTGCCATCGAACAAGTGTTGCCTTGTTTAAGGTACCAGTAAAACCATTAATTTAAAGAGACAGTCTTACTGTATTCCAGATTTTGTGTCACACCTTTTTCAGATTTCCCACTTCACATCTTTACAACCTCAACAGAGGACAATTGCCCTTTGCATTTTGCAGCTGTTAAAATAGGATTTAAGAGATTACAAGCCAGAGAAAAGACCTGTGTACAAATACAGATGCTGAAGGGCTTCCAGACCTTCGTACTTTTTGAATTGTTAATGTTACCATCTCCATAATTTCAATTTAGTCGTGTCAGAAATTCATTACTTGGAGCAAGCTATAGATGTGTTTCAGAAGGCTTATGAAAACTACATTTTTTTCCTTAGATGTTGGTCATATTTTCAAAGTGGTTTATAACCTTAGCAAGTTTAAAAATTGTGCTGGGAATGTAGCTCAGTGATAGAACACTTACCTAGCTCTAGTTTGAGGCTCTAGTTTTAATCCCCAGCACCACAAAACGAAGGAAATAGTTGAGCATGGTGCACATGCCTGTTATCCCAGCACTTGGGAGGCTGAAGCAGATGGCTGTCCTTTCATATAAGGTTACATAGTTCCAGGACAATCTGAACTACATAGCCAGACTGCCTCAAAAAAAAAAAAAAAAATCTCTTCCACATATTTTAACTTCTATCTGTCTCAATTCTAGGTCCTTATTTCCAAATATGTCCTGGAAATCTAGTTTTTATATCCTGCAAGTCAGTTTGTGTTCCCACGAAGTGAACTTTTCACTCACGCTTTCCTTGAAGCAGCTTGCTGTATCTTCTGCATGGTCTGTCTCTAAGTCTCTTTAAGGACAACTTTCTGTCTGTCTGAAGTTTTCCTGTCTGTGGTGTCAATTACCTTTGGTCAAACATGGAAAATTCCAGAAATTCTTAAGTTTTAAGTTGTACATTGTCCTAAGAAACATGGTGAAATCTTATCCCATCCAGTTCTCACTGGCCAGGGTTGTGAGTCATCCTTTGATCAGTGTATCCATTCTGTATAGATACCTTCTCCTGGGTCACTTACTGGCTGTCAAGGTTTTGTACTGCCCAAAGTTCTTGTTATCTCCTTGGGGTTTTATATTAGTGTGGGAGTAGTGTATCACCACTCCCCTTCCTGGGAACTCCCACTTCACTGTCTCCTTTATCTAGTGTTTACCTCTTTTTGGTTGAATTTAGTTTATATTAATAAATATGGATTACATGGTACTGCACAGCTGATTATATGGTTGATTATAAATTAAAACTTAAAAAAACTAAGGCACAATCCTAATTTCTTGGAGAAAGGAAGATAAGCATAAAATGATCATTTTAAATCACAAAAGAAGTGCAATGAATTTTAACATTCATTCAAAACATTTTCTGTTTGCACTTAACAAGTGTAGGGTATGCAGTATTGAACATAGTCCTCATCTGCTTAAAACATGTGGCTCATTAGAGCTGAAAACATACAGAGATAATTACAAATTATGATAGGTATCATAAAGACAAGTACTGAGATAATAATAGGAAGTTTACTTGAGATCAGACAGTATGATCTGGTTACACTTAAACTGATTTCTGAAGATTAAGACAGAACTGGGAAAAGAACATTCCAGTAGAATAGAATTTGCTCGAGCTAAAACAGGCAAGATCTTGGTGATTTAAAAATATTGGAAGTAAGTAGAAGGTAACCAGAGATAAAGTTAGGGAAGTAGGGTAAGATTGATTTAGTGGAGATCTTCAGTTTTTCTCAAAGTATAGTAGGGAAGAATTATGTAGTTATTAAAGATCTCTCTAGCTATTCCATGGGCTAAAGAGAATGAGTGGGGAAGCCAGTAAAGTGACTCCTGGAGTTTATATAGATAGAAGATGATGGTGATTTAACAGAGTGAAGGCAGTGGAGATGGATGAAGCTGCAGATATGTTTTTGAAATAAAAGTAATAGGACTTGACAGGATGAATGTGAAAATTGAGAAAGATGGTGGAATCAGATTAGCAAGTAGGAATGTTGATTAGATATACCTAGTGTGAAGATGGGAAGAAAGATCTGGGATGGAAATGTGTGAGCCTGGTGTGGTGGTATCTTGTCTGTAATCCCAGCACTTAGGGAAGCTGAAGCAGGATGATTGCAAGATCAAGCCTACCCTTGGATTCACTCTTCTCTATTGGAAAAGGAGAAAGAAATATAATGTGATAATTGAATTACTTCACCTATGAAGTTAAGTTGCTTTAAAGAGGAGACTTACTGGGCATGGTATTGCACTTCTATAATCCCAGCACTCAGGAACTTTGGAGGCTGAGGCAGGAGGATCATCACAGTTCAAAACCAGCCTGGTGTACAAAGTGAGCTCAAGGCCAGTCTGAATGGCATAGTGAAACCTTGTCTAAAAAAGACAAGAAAGAGCGAGACAGAGGAAGAAAGGCGTTTTAAAACATGAACCGTTATGGGACTAAAAGAAAATCAGGAAAGTATGGTACCCATACAAGGCAAGAAAAGAGTGAAGTGGGCAGCTCTATCCATGCTGCTGAAAAGTCAAATAGGGCGAAGATAATATACCCTATTTGACAATCAGCAGGTGACTGGTGACCTCAAGAGGAGTAGAGGGAAAGAGTGGGGATGAATTGGGCAAAGTGGATACCTGGATATAGAAAGATCAAAAAATGTATTCACAAGGTGCTACAAGGACAGAGAGAGTGTTGCCTAACTGCCTCTGGGGAATTAAGGTTTAAAGCAGTGACCACTGACATGAATCTTAAAGAATGGATAGGGACTTAGGATGAGAAAAGAAAGTAAGGCAATATAACAGTATAACAATGTAACAGTGACAGCAGTTTGAGGTGGAGTAAAGTAGCAGGATAAAGGTGGTGACAAACTGAATGTGTGGTAGGAACCGTATTATCCAGAATCTTGCCTACCATAACCAAATAGTTACTTTTTTTGAGTCATTTCCGTATATTGGAGGCTGTACCAAGTCTTTTATATAAAGTTACCTCACTTTTAATTCCTAGGTGTCCTGTGAGTTACATTTTTATCCTTTTATTCGTAAGAAAACTAATGCATACAGTGGTTAAATAACTTACCCCAGCCATCATAGGAAGTCTATATGACAGAATCAGGCTTTGAAATGTGGCTGTTCTAATTCTGGAGTCACATTCTTAACTTCTGCACTGTTGTGCTGTGGTTGAGGAATTTTATCCTTGGAGGATTAGTGGAACCAATTTGAAATTTTTTTTAAAAAGTAAACGTAGCCTCAGTATTAGAATTTACAGAACACTTCAGGTTTCCATGTTTCTTGAAAAATTGGAAGATCTATTGAATTGTGTAAAGAAGAAATTTGAGAAAAAGAAGTAGGAAGTATAGCTAGCTAGGTTTGTGCTACTAGTCCATACAGAATTTGACAAGCGTCTGAATGAGTGCAATGCTAACAATAAAGATAAAGGAGTAGATTGTACATGTGTCTGTTGTCTGTATGTCTGTCTATATGTACATGCCTGGACATATTGCAGGAAAATAGAGCAGGAGTCCTTTGCATGCGCAGTTCAAATCTTTGAGATCTCTAAATGAGGAAAATCTTGTTCACAAATACAAACTTGAGAATCATCAGCAAGTAGGTGGTAATACGAGCATAGGTAAGATTTTTAAAAATATAATCTTCCCATCCCCACAGTTTAAATTCATACATTCAGCAGGTCTTGTGTAAGATCACTGCATCGATCTTCTAATTGTTCTCCTTGAACAATTTTGGGTCCCCTAGTCCTCAGAATTTTCTTACTGCCTCCTGTTTGTACACGTTTGATGACTTTTCCTTTTGACTGCAGGGAAATGAATGTTCTTCAGAATGTTCTAAAAAGATTATGATGGCAGGGTGTGGTGACATATGCCTGGAATCCCAGTACTCAGGAGGCTGAAGCAAGAGGATCACCTCAATTTTTAAGGCCAGCTTGAACTACACAGGGAGACCCCGCCTTAAAGAAAAAAGTCTCTTGTGATGTAACCCCAGTTTTCCTTCCTTGCTTCATTCCTAACCACCCTCGCACATGTGTTCCAACTACCCCAGACTTCTCAGTATTTCCCCATTGTACCTTTACGCCTTGGCTCAGATGAACCTCTATAAATTTTCTAGGTCCTAGAGACAGAATTAGTAGCTCTGTATTTCCCCCATACTTGATCTACAGGTCTTGTACCGATTGACTTTCATGTGGTGTGTATTCCCCAGATAGACCCAGGAGCCCTTTCGAACACAGTTCAAGTCTTATTCATCTTTGTATACTCAGGGCTTACATTTGACTTACTAGGAATTCAGATATGTAAACTATGTGTTGTGTAAATAAATAATTGCATGTAGGAATTGGATTACAAGAAGCCTTCCCTTAAATGACATTCTACCAGGGTGTGGCTAAGATTCTCCATTGCCTATCTTACTGTAGGCAGTCGTAAATGTGAAGTCATCATTGTCATCATCCCTAGCATACTGATCAGCTACTGTATACCAGGTACAAGAAGAATTAAATAATACACCTAAGGTTATATGTCTATTAAATAGAGAAGCTCATTTTTAAATGCCATTTATTAAGACCAGTGGGAACCTGATGTAAACATTATATAATGTGTGCTTATCACAATATTACATGATGCCTCATTAATACAGTTTTAATGTTTTAATCTGTCAGTTAAAACATAAAAATAAATACACAAATAAATAAAAGACCAGTATGGAATTTCTGCCAACTAAGTACCTTTAGGCACTTTGCAGGTCTAAAATTGTTTTCTGTTTTTCTTGGTTTCCTTTCTTTCTTTCTTTTTAAATACTCACTGTTCCTTTAGGTTTCTCTCCCCACAGGCCCATATGTCTCCCTTCCACCAAGACCAGCTCAGTGAGGTTGGCTTTCTGAATGACCTCAAAGACAGATCACGTGCTTTTTTAAGTTTAGGTATTTTACTTTTAATGATTTTACTCTAGGGAGATGGAATGATTCATAGCAAACACGAGGCAGGTATAACTTATGAGAATTCACTCTTGATTTATCCTCCCTGGTTCTGTGTAATTCTGAATTCCCTTGCCTAAGTAATAGCCAAAATATATACTAATCTTTTGTCTCCTCTTTACCCCTTAAGGGGACTCTCAGTAGCATCGCATTTTCAAGGACCCAGGCTCCGAGTTTGCCAGGTTCCCCCTCAGGACAGCCCAGTCTTGGCTTTGAGGTGTAAAGTGAGAAAAGAACAGGGCAGAAACTGAGGAATGTCTGGGACCTGCCATCTTAATTAGTTCAAATTCTAAAGGGTAGAGCTCTGACCTCAGAAGGATGACTCATACCAGTTAAGATTCCTAACTAATAACCAGTCACCTGTGAGGTACCTTAGGCATTACAAAGTACATTGAAACATATTTTATTTTATGTCTTTTAGGCTTTAGAAAATTTGCGTGTTTACCTGTGTGAGAAACTCATAGCTGAGAGACATTTTGACCATCTACGTGCAAAAAAAATACTCAGTAGAGAAGACACTGAAGAAATTTCTTGTCGAACATCAAGTAGAAAAAGGGCAGGAAAATTGTTAGACTACTTACAAGAAAACCCCAAAGGACTAGACACCCTCGTTGAATCTATTAGGCGAGAAAAAACACAGAATTTCCTGATACAGAAGATTACAGATGAAGTGCTAAAACTTAGAAATATAAAACTAGAATATCTGAGAGGTAAGATAACTCGGGTACCAGAAAATAAATAGCTTTTTAAAATGTGCAAAAACAAAACGAAATCAGAAGTTATCATTTTACTTTGAAAAAATTTTGTGCTTCACAATTAATTTGATGTACATTGTTTTATTTACATTTTTTTAACATGTATAATAGTATTACATTTTAAAAGTGTATTGGTATTCATCTACAATGCCATTTATAGACCGCTTCCCATAATGAAACCCCAGGATATACAAGGGTTTGTTTCTGAAGTCAGAATGCAAAATTAATTTATTCCAAAGTAGCCTCTGAAAAGATGGTGTATCCCATGTTAAAAGGTTTCAGTCAGTTCTACTCGTAGTTTTTCTCCTGCCATTTGATCCTAAGATGAAGTCGTTGCGTATACATACTCGTAAGTTTTAAACACCAGAATCCAACTCCATCTGCAAGGTTTGAGGGGCATGAGGGACTTGAGATGGTTAAGGGAATAGCAAAGACAGCTTTCTGCTTTCACCCTTAAAAAGACTCGTTGACCGGAAAGCTGTAGAGAATCTCCTACATTATTGAAGTCTCCAACGCCTTGCTCTGTCTCCAGAGCACCCAGAGGAAGCATGCATGCAATACAGTGCTATGCCAGCTATTCTTGAAATTGCAGATAGAGAAAGAATAACGTGGGCACTGCCCTTAAGGACCTCATAGTCTATGAGTCCTTATTGGGACATGTTGGAAGTTTCCTCTCCTAAAGCATATACGGGGAAAAAAATTCTCTAGCTTTGGACAGAAATGTTGACTATATTGTAAAATTGAAAAACAAGCAGGAAAAATTACATATAAATGTACTTTACAGACTTAACAGGTATTGGCCAAAATATGTCAACTTGGGAGTTTTGCCTGTAGGCAGATTGAATATTTACCAAGCCTAACAGAAAGATACATTTTGTGTTTATTCTTTTAATTTCAAGGCTAATGGTTGGCTCTGTCCTTTGGATATGATAAAATTATTTGTTAGGAAGGACCATGGTTGCATAAGTAAACCTTATCTATTTCGTTACAGTTCTCACTTTTCTACAGAGAAGTTCTGGCATGACTTAACTGTTCTTTGCCTCTGTTTTCTTGTCTTTAATAATAATAGACTGTGTGGGTGGCCACTAAAATCCCTTTGATTTCTAACTCTGTGTGACTTAAGAATCATAATTGTCAATGGTTTGACTCATAAAATTTCAGACTATGAGGAAAAAAGAATTTCAGAATATGCCATGCTGAGCAATTGCTATACTAAACTACACCCCAGCCCTTGTTTTATTTTGAGACCAGATCTCACTAAATTGCCCAGACTGGCCTCAAACTTGAGATCTTCCTGCCTCATCATCACTAGGATTACAGGCGTGTACTGCTGTACCTGCCTAAATTTTGTTTTTATCAACTAATCTTTATTTTGTGTAAACTGCTAAAGAATATTTATTAATTTATTGTAAAAGCAGTTAATCTCATGAACAATTTTGTTACATAGTTAAATATACACTAAATATGAATTATTGCATGTCGTTTAACTTTCATAAATGTTTCATCTAGAAAAGGTGATACATGGTTCAGAAAAGCAAGATTTGAAATTCATTGGCCTTTATCTAGAAAATGTAAATACCTTGTCCAGAAAAGCAAATGAGATTTATGTTCTGGTGGTTAGATAACTAGCTTAAAGTTCCAAGGTGAAAGTAGACTCATGTTTTTTAAGTTATTTTTCTCGTTCACATCTGAGTCATTTTGTCGTAGGACTGAAAAGTAACAGCTGTGAGCCTTTCCCAGATGGAGCCACGAACAACCTTTCCCGATCGAATTCAAACGAGAGTAATTTCTCCGAAAAACTGAGAGCGTCCACAGTCATGTTCCACCCCGAGGGCGAGTCCAGCACGGCTCCCTTTTTCTCTCCCGTTTCCTCTCTGAACTTGCCCGTCTTGGAAGTAGGCAGAACTGAAAATACCATCTTCTCCTCCTCGAGTGCACTTCCGAGGCCTGGGGACCCTGGAGCCCCCCCTTTACCACCAGAGCTGCAGTTAGAGGAAGGAGGAACTTGTGGGAACTCAAGCGAGATGTTTCTTCCCTTACGGTCACGCGCTCTGTCACCACAGTGACACTTGACTGTCTTTGAATTTTTTAATAGCGACCAAAAACAATGTTTTAAATGATGTGAATCTTTTTATAAAACCATCCTAATGATTTACTTACATTAGATATGTCTTTTAAAAAACACAAGGTAAGCATACTTTGTAAATGGAATGCTTTAGATGAAAAGAAATACAGTTTTAGGGTAGCTAAATGAATCATGTTGGTCATGTATTTTTCAGTGTGTTCTTTTTTGTGGGTTTTTCCCTTTTTTTTTTCTTGGTGTTTTAATTCTTTCAAGTTTTTTATGTTGCAAGGTTAATTTTAACAGAGACCATTGTTCTGTTTGACAATAAACTTTTGGGCTGGAAATAAGGTTTCTCCGAGTTTTGGCAGTAAATTTTTAGCATTAAGCTCTTCCTTTTTGGTAATAAAGCCAGCCACAAATGGGAAAACCGCCTGTACACTGAAAAGAATCTCTTTCCCACTTGGTTGGGTTTACCAGTTCTCAGTCTGGGGGAATACATGGTAGAGACTGAGCCCCCTAAGATTTGTTTACTAAAATCCATTCCTTACTAACCTTACTAATTGATACTACTGTCTTTGAATTTTTAAGTCTTAATCATTTTCATACTAAAGAAAAGTATCACAGTGGAAGCCTCAGTGTTAACATGTAATTTGATGAGATTTGGAAAACTGTTCCGTGTACTTTTATTGTCTTTGAATGAACTGTATAGTTGAAATAACTAGAACGGATTTATTTTGGGGTGGATTATGTCAGTTCTGCTTTAATATTATTCTAATCAAGTAGATCATTAACTAGATTAATCCTTTTATACAACAAAATTTACTGTTTTACACATTTATAAATCTTACTCTGTTTTCCTTTAAATTATAATTTGATGTTTCCTGAGACTCATCTCCTATATATTTCTATTTCTAAAAAAAACTATAAATGGAGTTTTTCTATTAACAATAAAAGTTTTTTAATGTAGTGCTGTGTTTTAGAGTTTCAGATTTTTTAATCAGAAATATCTAAAACACTTTTTAAAATATGTGCCTTTTTTTTGCGGAAAACATACCTTCAAAGTGTGAGAGAGAAAATCCCAGCATGCTGGGAGACAGAGGCAGGAGGATGGCAATTTTGAGCCCCAGCTTGGCAACTTCACTAATTAGCATGATCCGGTCTCAAAAAAACATTTCAAAAAGGGCTGGCACTTCCAGTGTGCAGGCACTGGGTTCAGTGCCCAATTCTGAGGGGTAAAAGGTAAGATTGAGTTGCATTTCTGCATAGACTGATGATTTGCCAGTCATGAAGACTGACACATTGGCTTTAAATGATTTTTAAAAACCAGATAGTTATAGGTATTTTCAAAAATTATGGAAAGTGGCCCATTTAGGACCCATCCTGTCTCTTAGGAGCTATTCCTATTTCCCATTTGTTTTCCCCACTACATTTTCCTATTTTTTTCTTTCTTATTCTTTTTTTTTTTATTTAATTAAGGCGAAAGACATTTCACTTACAGCACTATTCACCATAAGCAGATAATGGCATTGTATTTAAAGAATAACTTTTTTTTTAAAGAAATCAAATTCCACAGTTGAGATTAGGGTTCTCACTGTTTACAGTTCTGTGAGTCTTTACAAATGCCTTAATGTCCTTACCCACCGTTACAGTGTCACACGGAAGAGTTTTACTGCCTTCAAAATCCCCTGTACACTGCCTGTTCACCCTATCATCCTTCACCCCTCTGCCGACACACTGACAAACTGATTTTTTTTTCCTTTTTTGAATCATTCCTGTTCCTCATCTTTTTCCTAACTGTATTTTTTGTCTTCTCCAGAATGTGAGATAGGTGAACTCATACAGTCAGCATTTCAGACCGGCTTCTTTAACTTAACAGCACACAAGTAAGGTTCCTCTGGGTCTTTTGGCAATGAATACACCTTTGAAGATGAAATTCGTCTTTGCCTAAACTGTCACACGTAAAGCAAGGACAAACACTGACAAAATAGGGCAGACCAGCAGAAAGATAGGGATTTTTTTTTTTTATCTTTTTTTAAATGTTTAAAATTTTGCCTGGAATGTTTATTTTGTCTATTTTGTTTTTGAGACAGGGTCTCACTGTCTAGTTCAGGCTGGTCTTGAACTCACTATGGAGGCCAGGCCGACCTTGAACTCACGATGATCCTGCTGTCTCAACCTCTTGAGTGTTGGGATTGTGTACAGGTGTGTGCCATCATGCCTAGCCTTGGGATATTTATTCTGATAAACAATTTTTTACTTTGAATCCAGTTTTTCAATCTCGTTTGCTAATAATGTTTTATCTTTTAGTTGAAATTCTGCCAGCCCAGCATCATGGTGCTATTCTCATGTCTGGGGGTGAACCTGTAGCACGCGTGCCCCAGCTCTTTGTATCATTGCAAACTAAAACGTTTACTGTCCCCATCTTGTGTTTTCTTGTAGATATTTAGCTGTTTTATTTTCCCATTTAGTTCTGTGACCCTTTAAGATGTGAGCAGAAATCATAGAAGTTTCATAGCTATTTTTTTGATTAAGCCATGTAAAAGGAAGCAGGAAGTTGTGGGGCCCCAGCCTCATCTTGTATCACAGGGTAAATACAAGCACTACTGACCTCAGAAAGAGACACCCAGAGGCAAATTGATCTACCATCATTAAATGAAATTTTTTCAAGGCTGTCTGAGGAGAACTCAGTTTACTAATAATACACAGGTAACTTGAGTACTAGTCCCAGAATTTTCTGAATTACTCAATTTAATTATCAGAAGTTGCCCTTTATTACAGTGCCAAACTTTGCTACCCATTGTGTAATCAGCACAGGAGCTTTTAAAGGTCTCAATCCCTGGGCTGCATCCCATAAATCCATGAAAGTGGTTTGGTGCAGAATCAATGCCTCGTTGGATGCCAGGTTCTTAGCTTGGCATTTCCACGTATGTGACCTTGTCCCACAAGGCAGGTTTTATTGTCACTTTTTTGGACAGGTAAGAAGTGAACTCAAGGTAAAGCATTTTAGGGTTAAAACCCAGTACTGTTTGACTCTTAAGATCATTGTCCTTTCCACAACTTTACACTTTCCTGTTAGCATTTCTTAAAAGCAGAAGAATCAGAGAATTAGTATTTTTTTCACTCAATGTCTGCATAAAAAGTAACTTGAGACTAGAATTAACCTGCGAGCAGAGACCTAAAATATAAGGAGGAAGGAGCTGGCCAAGTGAAGTTCCTGGGGAAGTGTTTCAGGCAGAAATAGCACTGAATGCACAGAGCCTGGGGCAGCAGTGTGAGGACTGCACGGCCCTGTGTGGCTGTGATACAGGGGAGGTGGCCAACAGTGACTGCAGGGAGCTTAGAAGCCTGTACTGAGACTGTACAGGTGGGGAGGGGTGTCGAGGGGAAGAGCAGCGTCAGGTCCTAAAGTATGCGGGGCCAGGAATGGTGGTGCATGCCTGTAATCTCAGGACTCAGGAGGCTGAGGCAGCAGGGTCACCATGATTTCTAGGTCAGCCACGGCTACATAGTGAGTTCAAGGCCACCCGGAACTGCATAGCAAGACCCTGTCACACACTAAAAGGAACAGGCTGAAGGAGTGCAGTACATCAGATACTAAGTGGGGTAAGCAGGACACCCCCATGGGAAGAGGGCCCGCAGCAGTGATAGAAGACTGGCTGCATATTTGGGGATTGATCAAATAAGAAACGTACTTTGGAAAGAGAAAACCAAAAAGGACTGTGTATTACTGGATAAAAATGGGTGTGAGGATGAACTCGAGGTTTTCAGCACTTATAGATAGCTGCAGGAATAAAGGCATTCCTTAGCTTTGTCCACTGAGAGAAACTGGAAACATTAGCAATTAGCGTAGCACCCAGTTCTTGGTTTTTAAGTGCCAGTCTCCACTGGAAGGGTTCCATGGTGAAATGACTACTTCCAGGGAAATTATAAAATGAGCTTGGGAGCCAGGCATGGTTGCACACAATTGTAGTCCAGCCCTTGGCAGGCTGAGGCAGGAAGAGAGCATCGAGTTCAAGGCCAGCCTGGACTACATAGCAAAACACCTCAGTAAGCAAATAAATAAATAAGCTTGCAACGTCTTGTTCCAGAAAGCAGGTATGTGTTCAAAGAATGGCAAGGCAGACCATAGAAGCTACTCTGAAGGCATTTCAGGCAGTTTCAACATCAAATGATGGATTATTACCGACTAAAATGAGAAACCATGAATCAATATGAATAAGTGAGCAAATATCAATTTGATGGAGAATAGTTCATTGACATGCTTGGGGGAGCACTTTCCTACCAAAAAAGTATGTATTAAAGCTGACTGCAGTTCTGCTTGCCTGTAATCCCAGCTTGCTGGGAGGCTGAAACAGAAGGATCCTAAGTTTAAGCACAGCCTGAGGAACTTGGGGAGATTTCTGTCTCAAAAAATAATGAAATGCTGGTAATATGGCCAGTAAGAAGAGCTTGGATTCAACCCCCAGTTCCCAAAGAAAAAAAGGAAAAAAGACAAATGGATTATTACACAAGAGAAAAAGTGACTTTACATGGAGCAGCCTGGAAGACTCTACCATAAAAAAATTAAGTGGAAATCTTTATGGTCAGAACAAGCAAAACCACGCACCTCCTGATAGAAGACCACAGTGCCGCTTTCAAGGAGTGCTAACCTGCATCTAGTCAATAAGAAGCCTCACACTCAAATCCAAGGATCTCCCATAAAATAATTCATCTCTAATCTTGCAAGTCTCAAGACCATTGAAGATAAAGGAAACAGACATAAACAATAAGTACAATGCAGGAATCAGCCAATCTGATGGCTGTATAGATGTCATTATTATAGAAAATGCAAACAACATTTTTATTAAAGTACAGTTTTAGGGGTCGTAAGGGGTCATGTCAGCAACTTAACTCATGTGGTTAAGAAAGTTCTTTGTTCTTACAATTTATACCTGCAATTTTCATTAAAGTGTTTCAAGATTTTAAAATTGGAAGATACTAATTGTTAAGAAAATTTAATAATAAAGAAGATTACTGCAATTGTCTGAGCAAAAGATGACAGTAATAGAGGTAGACTTGGTCAAAGTGTTTGCATTCAGAATATATTTTAGACTCAGAATGACAAGGTTTGCTGGTTTGTGTCCTGAGCACCCGTATTAAAAGTGCCACAATCCAAAGACAGGAAGACTGGAAGATGTGGGTGACTGAGTTACAGGGAATGAAGACTTTAGTTTTGGGGTGTATTTTTCAGTTATCTCTTACTGCTTAACACAATTCAAAATAACATTTATGATCCTCAACTCAATTGCTCGCCTTTATTAGTCTGATGGTCTAACCTGGGGTCTATCTCGGGCTAAAGGGGCTGGATGATTTCAGGTGAATTCATGCACATATGTGGTACCTTGGGATGGTGGCACAAGGTAGGAGTGCCCGGGGCTCTTCCCGAGATGACCAGAGAGTAGCTGGACCTCTGTACCTTGTTGCTCAAGATTCTCAAGACAGCAAAAGTGCAAGCACTGGTCACCAAATCAGGTTACAAGGCCTAGAGTTAAATAGGCTCCCTCTTCTCCCCCCCGCAGTGGAGAGAGTGAAAACGTGCACCAGGATGGGGATTCCTGGTGACCACTTTTGAGGACCTTATAAGACATTGAAAGAGGAAATTGTTTACAGGAGTCTGGTATTTAGGAGAAACATCTGGACTGGTTTTATAAATGTGAGAGTTGTCAACATAAAATAATATTTAAAACCATGGGACTTAGTAAAGTTCACTTTGAAAAGGAGAGTAGAAGAAAAAGAGAGGTCAGGCCAGATGAGCACTGGGTGCTCCTATGTCTAGGGGTGAGGCAAAGAAGAAAGCAACAGAAAAAAACTAAAAGTGGCTCTGTGAAAATAGGAAGAGAGCTAACTGAGGTGCAGGAGAAACAAAGTTTCCAGGAGGCCCTCCTGTTGAGCTGTGAGGTTAGAAGTGCTCTTTGGACCTGGTCACA